TGGGGGCTCTAGGTTCCCCTATAAACCCCTTTAAGCAAAAAAGGGCACCCTTTTTAGTCCTAGGTTACTGGGCAACCTAGTCGTAAGTTGTTGAGGTTGGGTTGGTCGACGAGAACACACAGCAGCTGGTCCAGCAGACGCCGGGCCTGTGTGAACGGGCTTCGGGGGCTTCCGTGGTTAGAGAGCATGACGGTTTAGGGTTTAGGGTTGAGGGTTTAGGGCTTTAGGGCTTTAGGGCTTTAGGGCTTTGGGGTTTTAGGGTTTTAGGGTTTTGGGTTTAGGGTTTTAGGGTTTAGGGTTTTAGGGTTTTAGGGTTTTAGGGCTTAGGGTTTAGGGTTTTAGGGTTTAGGGTTTTAGGGTTTAGGGTTTTAGGGTTGTAGGGTTTTTGGGTTTTAGGGTTTTAGGGTTTTAGGGTTTTTAGGGTTTAGGGTTTAGGGCTTTAGGGTTTAGGGTTTTAGGGTTTAGGGTTTTAGGGTTGTAGGGTTTTAGGGTTTTAGGGTGCCCGTGGGTTGTACAGGGTATATACGGGGTATGAGGGGCCCCCTTTTAAAGGCCCATACTAAAAAGCCATGTAACTACGCTTAGGTGGTTAGAGCGCATTCGTGTTTAGGGTTTCTCACCTCAGAGCATGCTGGCAGCTCGGAACAATAAACCCCCCCCCCCCCCCCCCCAGCCCCCACGAGACCCCAAAAAAAAAAGACCTACATGTAAACACTAAACCCTAAACCCTAAACCCTAAACCCTAGAATCCCACGGTTCATGGCTGCTGCAGGGCTTCAGCTTTTGCTTGTTTACGGCTCGTAGGGCCTGGGGCTGAGGAGCATAGGGCTTCAGGGCTGAGGGTTTAGGGTCTAGGGTTTAGGGTTTAGGGTTTGGGGTTTACAGTAGGGTTTCGAGAAACCCTCAGCTCCCTAAACCCAGAGTTTCAAACCCAGAGCCCCAGAGCCCCAGAGCCCCAAACCCCAAACCCCAAAACCCCCAAACCCCCAAACCCCCAAACCCCAAACCCCAAACCCCAACCCCCAACCCCCAAACCCCAAGCCCCAAACCCTAAACCCTAAAACCCTAAACCCTAAACCCTAAACCCTAAACCCTAAACCCTAACCCTAAACCCTAAACCCTAAACCCTAAACCCTAAACCCCAAGCCCCAAACCCCAAACCCCAAACCCCAACCCTAACCCCTAAACCCTAAACCCTATATAAAGCCTAAACCCTATACAAACCCTAAAACCTAAACCCTAAACCCTAAAACCCAGTAAGGATAGCATCAGACACGGACGCCTTCACTCAGCAGTTCAGCGAGGAGAACTATCCTGTCATCGTTCCTGGGCCTCATTTCACGAACCCGAAACCCTAAACCCTAAACCCTAAACCCTAAACCCTAAACCCTAAACTCGTGCCCCTGAGGTAGTACCCCTAAAGTTTCCCCTCAATATACTCCTAAAATGGCCCTTATATTCCCTTTGGGATGCTGAAAAAGGGTCCCCAAAAATCAAGGGTACCACCTTAACACGACTCAGAACTGGAACCCCCTGCTGGAGTGGTTTTAGGGCTCAGTGGGTTCAGGGTTCAAGGTTTAATGTTTAGGGTTTCACCCGGGCCCAAAATCCCATAGGCCCTAAAATTATCCTCCCATAGTGAACGCGAAGCCTGATGTTACTTGGAGGCCTGGCGCCCCCCCCCCCTCCCCCACCCCTTTCCCCCGAAACCCGCCCTGCAAAGCCTAAACCCCAAACCCCCAAACCCCCAAACCCCCAAACCCCCAAACCCCCAAACCCCCAAACCCCCCAAACCCCCCAAACCCCCAAACCCCCAAACCCCCAAACCCCCAAACCCCCAAACCCCCAAACCCCCAAACCCCCAAAAACCCCCAAACCCCCAAACCCCCAAACCCCCAAACCCCCCAAACCCCCAAACCCCCCAACCCCCAAACCCCCAAACCCCCAAACCCCCAACCCCCAAACCCCCAAACCCCAGAACCCAGAACCCCAGAAGAACCCCAAGAACCCCCAGAACCCCAGAACCCCAACCCCAGAACCCCAGAACCCCAGAACCCCAAACCCCGACCCCAGAACCCCAAAACCCAAAACCCCAAACCCCAAACCCCCAAACCCCAAAGCCCCCCCCAAAGCCCCAAAACCCCAAAACCCCAAAACCCCAAAACCCCAAAACCCCAAAACCCCAAAACCCCAAACCCCCACACCCCCAAACCCCCAAACCCTAAACCAAACCCCAAAACCTTAAACCAAACCCTAAACCCTTTCGGGGGGGGGGGGAGGGGGGTAGGGTGACGGTGGATTAGTGCACGGGCACGGCCCAGGCCCACAACAACCGTGTGCTGTTCTCCGCGCTGGAAGGCGCCGAAGAGCATGGGGGTGGCGGGTCCGGGGAATGTTTTGGTCTGGTTTAGGATTTAGTCTGGATTTTGAAATTATATATTAGTTTTTGGTTCTGGGTTCCTATTGTAGCTACTTATGCCTAGAAGTATATCATGTTTTCAGACCTAAAGTAGGGTAGTGTGTTGATTTGGAGCACGAGTCAACAAGCCCGCAGCCCTCAAGACCAAAGGCCCTGAACCCCTGAACCCTACAACCTAAATCCTAAACCCTAAACCCTAAACCCTAAACCCTAAACCCTAAACCCTAAACCCTAAACCCTAAACCCTAAACCCTAAACCTAAATCCTACCTAAGCCCCTATAAGCCCTCAGACCGAGGCTGGCTCCGCGAGCAGCCCGCAGCGCTGTCTAAGGCCGCACTGCCCGCGCCGCTCCGGGGCGAGCTGCAGCGCGGGCTGCATTTTGCCATGCCCTTAACCCTAAACCCGAAACCCTAAACCCTGAACCCTGAATCTGCACCCTGTAAACCCTAAACCCTGAACCCTGGTCTACGGACTTGCGTATTGAGAGCGGTTTTCAGGTGTTATGGTTGTTTGTTGTTTTTCCTTCAGAGGTGTTTGCTTGAGGGTCTGGAGTCGGCGCTGATGGGGTTGGTTCGCTTTCGGCGTGAGGCCTATGACCTGTGTTTTGGGGGGCTTCTGGGTTACAGCGTTCGCGCTTGTAAGGAGTATAAGGAGGGGCCCTACAAGGGAGCCTTAATCTTGTTCCCCTCTAGAACCCCTATTTATCCCCTATGAATACTTTACACATATAGTCTCGGAATGACCCCTCAGGTCCCTTGTAAGGGTGCCTCCTTCAGTCCCTTGAGGCTTTGTGGCGTTGGCGGTCAGGACTCTTATTAGAACGACTTGTACCTCTCACGGCCATGACAACATTTTTCAAGATGTTCATAAACATATGAATCTCAGCAGGGTTCATATTGCTGTTTCCGCTGGTGTCCGTCTTAAGAATCGTGAATACGATAACGAGGACTAAGGTTCGGTATTGGTTTCTGAGGCTGACCCTAAACCCGAAACATCAGGGGAGGGGTTTTGGGGGTGTGGGGATCCAGCCTGTTCAGGGTCTTGGAGTTCAGGGTTTCGGGACGCCCTTGTATCACGGATTCCCATATGAACAGCGTTTGCCTGTCAGCGGCTGTTTTGTTTTTTTTTTTTTTTTTCTCTTTTCTGTGCCGAGGTGCGGATTGGCTTCCTGCTACGACTGAGAAAAAGACGGGGCGGAGTCAGGGATCAAGTTTGCCACAAGCCCCAAGCCCAAAGCCTTTTAGCCGGAACCCTTAGGGTTTAGGGTTTAGGGTTTAGGGTTTAGGGTTTAGGGTTTAGGGTTTAGGGTTTAGGGTTTAGGGTTTAGGGAACCCGAAATCCTGAGCCCCCAACCCTCTGCCCTCAGCCCCAAGCCTTGCCTCAGAGCATCCATTGATCTGATCAGCTCCAACGATCGTCCAGAGTCCTTGGGGCCTTCGCTACAATGCAGCGCCTTACTCGAACGCAAGCGGGGCCAATTCACTCGCTGTGCCTGGTTCTTAGGCTTGAACGGTTGAACCCTGGCCCTAGACCCTAGACTTTAAAACCCTCAAAGACCTGTGTAAACACAAATGGTGTGTCTTCATGTTCCCTTGGCCAAAGCGCCAAATTTAGCGATTGTTGCCACAAACCAATGTAGTAGAGCCAACACATAGGGGTTTTCGCACTTTGTGATTCTGACCCTTTTTGGTGTCCGCAGGCTCCCAGTTCAGGGCGAATTTTCGCTCAGCCAGGCCCAAAACAAACGGTTTCACGCCCGTTTTTGAAATTGGTGACTCGAAGATCCACACATGGGATTTCACAAACCAACATGGTCGACCCAAAGCATCGTGCTTTTCGCTCAGTTGACGGAGCTGGGGATCATCGAAATGGGTCAGTCTTCGTGACTGTTAACCACTTGTGAGTTTCCAAAACTCGGTCCAAGGGCCCAGACTCTATACCCTAAACCTTAAACCCTGAACCCTGAACCCTAAACCCTAAAACCTAAACCCTAAACCCTAAACCCTGAACCCTGAAGCCTGAACCCTGAACCCTGAACCCTAAACCCAAGCCCTAAGCCACTGCTTCGGGCTTGGGGCTTAGGGCTCAGGGCTTAGGGCTCAGGGCTCAGGGCTCAGGGCTCAATTCTTAGGGTTTAGGGTTTAGAGTTTAGGGCTCAGGGCTCAGGGCTTAGGATTGGGACACCTTCATGGAATGCATCCTGACCACAGCAAGCCCCATGAGCCCTCTTAACCTAAGCCCTCCCCCGTCGCCCTCAAACATCTTAGGGTAGGGACACGGTCCCTGTCCTTAGGGTTTGGGGTTTAGGGTATTTGCTTTAGGGTATTTGGTTTAGGGTTTAGGGTTTAGGGTTTAGGGTTTAGGGTTTAGGGTTTAGGGTTTAGGGTTTAGGGTTAGGGCAGGTTATCAGGGATATGGTCCCTTGCCCCCTGAAAGGCTCTGACGTATGGGCCTTGGTATAAGGGGTCCCTTCTAAGGCCGTAAGGTTGAACAAACCCTAAACCCTAAACCCTAAACCCTAAACCCTAAAACCCTACAAACCCCCTGAATTCGAAGCCGAAACTCCAAACCAGTCGGAGGCTGAAGAAGAGACGAGGTGCCACACCTGCCTCCTAAGGTCCAGGGTTGAAGGTCTCAGGTTGGGATGCTCCCCCTTATAAAAACAGGTTTAGGGTTTAGGGTTTAGGGTTTAGGGTTTAGGGTTTAGGGTTTAGGGTTTAGGGTTTAGGGTTTAGGGATACTATTCACACTTATATCTTATATACCTTAACAGGGATTTTAGTTGGGGGTACTATAATCCCTGTTAAGGGCTGTCAGATGTACTTGTTGACTTGTCGCAGTGCACGGTTTCGGTGGGTGCTCGAGCTTAGGTTCAGGGCTTAGAGATTAAGTTAGGGCTGTTGCTGTCCAGGGCTCTGGGCCGTCCTTGCTCAAGCCAAGTCAAGCCAACATTGCAAGAAGGTTCATGAGGGGGTGGGTACCTAGGGAACCTTAGGGAAGCTTAGGGAGCCTTAGGGAGTAGTGGGTAGTACTAGGGAGCCTTGATTTGCATACACCCTTGAACCCCCCTCCCTCAATAAGAACCCTAAACCCTGAACCCTGAACCCTAAACCCTAAGCCCTAAACCCTAAACCCTAAACCCTAAACCCTAAACCCTAAACCCTAAACCCTAAACCCTAAACCCTAAACCCTAAGCCCTAAGCCCTAAGCCCTAAGCCCTAAGCCCTAAGCCCTAAACCCTAAACCCTAAACCCTAAACCCTAAACCAACTCTTCACCCCGAAGAGGCACCACGCAGAGGAAGTGAAGCACGAGGCAGGGCCTGGGGGAATCCAGGGCTTTAGGGAATTTTTGAGGTTTAGGGTTTAGGGTTTAGGGTTTAGGGTTTAGGGTTTAGAGGCAATTTCGGGGTCTTTTTGCGGATCGTTCTAGGGCTTCATGGCGGTTTTCAGAGATTATCTCGTGTAGGGTTTCAGGGTTTTAGGGACTTGGTACCCCAGTGGTACCCTTTACCCCTTTTTTTTGTTTATGGTTTCCTTTATAGAATGACCAACCAAACAAGGGTGCCCTTATCATAATACGGTTACTGGGCTACGAAGGTCCGGGATGTGGGTGAAGTGTTTTTAAGGATTTCGGGGATTATTTTTTCGGGCTTTAGGCAATGTAAGGGGATTTGGAGGTCTAGGGTGTTAGGGATTTAGGGCTTATAGTTGTTTGAAGAGATTCTTGTTTAGGACCTCGGGGTTTAAGGCTGTAGGGTTGAGAGCTTAGGGTGACGGGTTTTAGGGCTCAGAGAATCCGTGGGGTTTAGGGGGTCGGGGGCTTAGGGTTTTGGGGAGTATTGTTTTGGGATTTAGGGGTTATAGAGGTTTAGGGTCTTTATTTTTTAGGGTTAAGGGTTTTGTGGGGTTTCAAGGTTCAGTTTTTTTGCGGTTTTAGGCTTCACGGCTTTGGGAATGTTCACGTTTGTTCAATTTTTTGAGTTCTCAGGTTTTGGGAGTCAGGACGGTTTGAGAGTTTAATGGTTTAGGGTCTTTAGGTCTTATTGTTTGGGGTTTTTTAGGTTTGAGGGCTTCTGGTTGTGCAGCGTTTCAAATGTTGGTTCTTGAGGCTTGTTGGGGGCCAAGAACTGAGGGAGTTTTGGATTTTGAGATTCGGGGTTTTTCGTGGTCTCAAGGTTGCTTGAGTGTTAGTTTTCAACGCATTCTTTGGGTGTTTTCAGGTTTAGGGTTTTGGGGGTTAGGGGGCTTTGGGGATTTGGGGGTTTGGGGCGGGGGGGGGTGGCCTCCTGTTCGCCACACCCTCGTGTCTACATGCTAGCCCTAAACCCTAAACCCCTAAACCCTAACCCCTAAACCCGAAGCCCGAAGCCCGAAACCCTAAACCCTAAACCCTAAACCCTAAACCCTAAACCCTAAACCCTAAACCCTAAACCCTAAACCCCTAAACCCCTAAACCCCTAAACCCCCTTCAACTAGAGAGGCGACCCGGGCTCGATCCAAAGCCGGCCGAGTCGAAGAGCGAAGCGTCTGGGCCAAGGCAGAGCCCCCTAAGCCTCCCAAAATCCAAAACCCAAAACCCAAAACACAAAACCCAAAACCCTAAACCCTAAACCCTAACCCCTAAATGCCTAAATGCCTAAATGCCTAAATGCCTACATGCCTACATGCCTAAATGCCTACATGCCTAAATGCCTAAACCCCTAAGCCCCTAAACCCCTAAACCCCTAAATGCCTAGACCCTAAACCTTCAAACCCTAAACCCTAAACCCTAAACCCTAAACCCTAAACCTTAACCCCTAAACCCCTAAACCCCCAAATGCCCAAATGCCTAAATGCCTAAATGCCTAAATGCCTAAATGCCTAAATGCCTAAATGCCTAAATGCCTAAATGCCTAAATGCCTAAATGCCTAAATGCCTAAATGCCTAAACCCTAAACCCCTAAACCCCGAAACCCCTAAATGCCTAAATGCCTAGACCTTAAACCTTCAAACCCTAAACCTTAAACCCTGAACCCTAAACCCTAAACCCTAAACCCTAAACCCTAAACCCTTAACCCCTAAATGCCTAAATTGAATGCCTAAATGCCTAAACCCTAAACCCCTAAATGCCTACTAAACCCTAAACCCTAAACCCTAAACCCTAAACCCTAAACCCTTAACCCTAAACCCTAAACCCTAAACCCTAGACCCTAGACCCTAAACCCTAAACCCTAGGGTTTAGGTTTCTCGTGTCGGGTTTAGGGTTCTTCGGTCTGGGTTTTTTGGGGCGGGTCTCGGGCCCCAATTTCCGGGCTTGTCTAGGCTTTTAAGGCTTGTTTGGGGTTTGTGTGGTTTAGGGGTTTCTTGTGTCTTCTTCTTGGGATCTCTAACACTCTCCTGGCGGCTCTCATAGCAGTCAGAAGGTGCAGGGTTCAGGATTTAGGGGTTTGGGTTTAGGGTCTAGGGTTCATAGCAAGGATCCAAACCCACAAGCCAACAAACTCCTTTCGGTTTGAGGTTTAGGGTAGCCCCCTCCGCCTGCCCCCCCCCCACAACGCCCAAAGCTAAGTCCGAAAGCCCTCGCAGCCGCAAAGCTCCTAAGACCATGGCATCCCCGCGTGAAGGTTCGCATGAAGTGGGGTTCATACTATCGTTCTTGGCTAGGATGCCCAGTAGTACCCTTATTCCCTTTTTGGGGGGGTTTAGGTTCCCTTATAAACCCCTTTAAGCAAAAAAGGGCACCCTTTTTCAGCCTAGGTTACAGGGCAGCCTAGTTGGTGAGTGTGCATAGGGCTCATGATCAACATTGGTGAGTATATTTGGGTTGTCATTTAGTTGGGGATGCTAAAACCAAGCATCCCAGTCTGCATGGCTTGCATCTTGCCGGCGCTTATTCGGAAATCAGGAAGTCGGTGCCTAAACCTCGCCGCCACCCCGACAAGGGAGGATCGCATGTGTAGTTCCGCAAGGTTCGTGCTGCGTATGACACGCTGCAGAGCGTCTGGGCATGGCCGAACAGAAGGCAAATTGCTGCGGCACCTGCAGCTGATCCACGGCGGCGTCGAATTTCGCCTCCCACAAGGAGATCTCCTTTTTGAACACGCCAGCACAGGGCGTTGGGCTTCAGGCGGCGGCGAGGCCCTCGAGCAAGTGAGCAGCCTTGCCACGACATGGTGGGTGCCTAGGCGGCTCAATCCAAATCCCTAAACCCCTACCCTAAACTCCTAAACTCCCCGAACCTGTGCACTCCTATGTAAACTCCTAAACTCCCAAACCCTGAACTGCTACACCCTCAAGCCCTATCCCTGAAGCCTAAACTCATATTGGGTAAGCTAGGGAAGTTCACAAGCACCTAAACCCTAAATCCGGAATCCTAAGCCCTAAACACTAAACCCGGGACCCTAAACCCTCACCCTGAACCAGAAACCCTAAACCCTAAACCCTAGACCCTAAACCCTGAACCCTAAACCCTAAACCCTAAACCCTCAACCCTAAACCCTAAAGCCAGGGCCAAGCCAAGAGCTCCTATCGCATCTCCAAGAGGGCCAACAGGCGCCGGGTTCCGGCCGCCAGGCTTTAAATCCCGCTAGGATTTAGGGTTTTGGCTTGAGGGTTGAGGGTTAGGGTTTAGGGTTTAGGGTTTAGGCTTTTAGGGGTTTAGGGGTTTAGGGGTTTAGGGGTTCGGGGTTTAGGGGTTTAGGGGTTTAGGGTTTAGGTTTAAGGAAAGACAACCCCCCACTTCCACCCGCCCTCCATACCTTGCGCGCCTTGAGTGTCCGAGAACCTTAAAGGCACACGAGTAGAGGCAAGCCTGACCAGCTCAGAAGCCTTAAGCAGCCTGAAAGGGTTTAGGGTTTAGGGTTTAGAGGTTTAGGGTTTAGGGTTAAGGGTTTAGGGTTTGGGGTTTAGGGTTTAGGGACACTCAACACTCCCCCGTCCTCCCCGGCACCCCGCACATGACACGACAAATGCATCAGCAACTACTTTTGACCCCAAGAATGGGCTTACTAGCTGAATGGGTACGCTTTCCAATTCTTTGGGGTAATGTAATGCCCCATAGAACTGACAGTGTACACTGTTTGTGGGCTTGTGAACTCTGCAAGTAAGTGGGTGACTGCCAAAGCCTTAGAGAATTCCACCAAAAGTGTGAGAGAGCCGGCAGGCCCAGACATGCACTACATTTACTAAACCCTAACCCTAAACCCTAAACCCTAAACCCTAAACCCTAAACCCTAGACCCTAGACCCTAGACCCTAAACCCTAAACCCTAAACGCTAAACCCTAAACCCTAGACCTAAAGCAGGGTGGCCTTCGGGGCTCTTCTCTTCACCATCATGGGGGTCGCTATTGACACCGTCTCGCAGAGCCTGCGTGTTTTGCTTGGCGGGGGGGAAGGGGTTTAGGGTTTAGGGTTTAGGGTTTAGGGTTTAGGGTTTAGGGTTTAGGGTTTAGGGTTTAGGGTTTAGGGTTTAGGGTTTAGGGTTTAGGGTTTAGGGTTTAGGGTTTAGGGTTTAGGGTTTTGGAGGATCCTGGGGTAGAGGGTTTAGGATTTAGGGTTTTGGAGGTTTGGGGTTTGGGGGGGTGTGTGGTTTAGATCCTGTTGCTTGTCTTTGTGGGTGGGGCGGGGGGGCGGGGAGTTGTTAGTGTGGGATTTCGGGTTTAGGGTTTGAGGTTCAGGGTTGAGGGTTGAGGGCCCGGGGTGAGGGGGTTGGGGTTTAGTCAGCATTTCTTGGGAGCTTGAGGACCCTGAAGAAGGCACCCTTGTTTCGGAGCCCCCAAATCCAAGCCCTAAACCCCAAACCCCGAACCCCGAACCCTAAACCCTAAATCGTAAACCCTAAACTCTGAACCCTAAACCCTAAACCCTAAACCCTAAACCCTAAACCCTAAACCCTAAACCCTAAACCCTAAACCCTAAACCCAAAGATCCCTGCCAGGAACGTCATTACCGTCTTCACAACGAAGAGGATGATGAACGACCTCGAAGACGAGGCTGCACAGGCCGCGGGCATGTGTGGAGGCTTTAGGGTTTAGGGTTTAGGGTTTATGGTTTAGGGTTAGTAGTTTAGGGTTTAGGGTTTAGGGTTTAGGGTTTAGGGTTTAGGGTTTAGGGTTTAGGGTTTAGGGTTTAGGGTTTAGGGTTTAGGGTTTAGGGTTTAGCAGGGTTTAGGGTTTAGGGTGTAGGGTTTAGGGATCAAGGCTCTGTAGGGTTGAGGGCTTCGGCCTCAGAGCCCATGATGTCCCGATGCGCCGAGTTCGCAGCTCGGATTTCAGTCACTGAGCCTGTTCAGGGGTTCAAGGTTGAGGGCTCAGGGCTTAGGGTTTAGGGTTTAGGATTTGGGGTTTAGGGTTTAGGGTTTAGGGTTTAGGATTTGGGGTTTAGGGTTTGGGGTTTAGGGTTTAGGGTTTAGGATTTGGGGTTTAGGCTTTAGGGTTTAGGATTTGGGGTTTGGGGTTTACGGGTTAGGGTTTCGGGTTTAGGGTTTCAAATGAAAAGGCAGGTAGTAGTAACAGTCGCTCGCAGCAGAAGGTGTGCTCAACAGGTTTAGGGTTTAGGGTTTAGGGTTTAGGGCTAGGGTTTAGGGTTTAGGGTTTGGGGTTTCGGGCTTAGCACCCTAAACCCAAAGGTCAGGAACCCCAAGCCCCGTTAAACCCCCAACCGAAACCCCTAACCCCATAACCCTGAACCCTGCGGCGAAGGCGCCGCGCTGCAGTGCTCAAGCGACATGAGCTTGGGGCTCATAGCAGACCTTTTCCTGCTTCCGGACCAGCTTTTTTTGCCACTTGATCATGGGGGCCTTTGCTCGCGACGCATGCGCCACGCATGGAAAGAGCCGCCGCTTCGTGCCCTCCTTCGAGGGCACTTGGCTTCGGCTGCGCAGGGCCCCAGCAGAGTCTGGCGAAAGGTCACAAAGCCGTGGCGGACTAAAAGGATGGTGTTTAGGGCCCTTAATGTGGCCCCTTACCTCCTTTCAAGGGCTCTGATGTACGGGCCCCTAGTTAATCTGTAGAGTGTACAGAGGGGTATATAAGCTGTCCCCCCGTCAAGGGCCCATGCTAAGGGACCATGCAACTACCCTGAGAATGACAGTTTGGGAACTTGAGCTGGACCAGCCCTGCAGTGTCAGCTCCTAGACTTCTTCGCCCTTCAGGGTTTAGGGTTTAGGGTTTGGGGTTTAGGGTTTAGGGTTTTAGGGTTTTAGGGTTTTAGGGTTTTAGGGTTTTAGGGTTTTAGGGTTTTAGGGTTTTAGGGTTTTAGGGTTTTAGGGTTTTAGGGTTTTAGGGTTTTAGGGTTTTAGGGTTTTAGGGTTTAGGGTCTAGGGTGGAAGAGCCTAAGCCCTAGAAACCCTGAATCCTTAAACCCCGATGGACCCTTGAACCCTGAAGCCCATCATCCCCCCAAAACCCCCAAACCCCCAAACCCTGAACCTGAAACCCCGAAACCCTAAACCCCAAGCCCAAACCCTAAACCCTAAACCCGAAACCCTAAATAAAGGGACCTCCCAAAGAGCCCTCCTTCATTTTTTATGTTGGGGGAGGCCGGGTGGGGGGGGGGGGGGGGGAAGGCACTGGCCCGACGTCGACGAAGTGAGCAGCGGTGAGGCTTAGGGGCGTAGGGCTAGGGCTTAAATGCTTTGGGTTTGGGGTTTAGGGTTTAAGGCTTAGGGCTTAGCTTTCTTAGGGCTTACTTAGGGCCTGTGTTTCTTAGGGCTTCTTGGGATTTGGGCAGGGCTTCACGGTTTTCCTAGGGTCTTTATGGGTTTTGGAGGGCTGTAGAGCCTTGTTGGGGTTTTAGGGTCCTAGCCTTCTTATGGTTTAGAGCTTCAGTGCCTCTGTGTGTGCATTTCGGGCTTGAGGCTTAGGGCTTGATACCCTGTAAACCCTTTAAAGCATTGCAACCCATGCTTGAGGGGGGAGGGCTTCGCCCTCTCGAAGCTCCCTGATGGCCCCCGCGCACCTACGCAGCCCTCAAGCCTACATGCCCGAAACCACGAAACGCCTAAGTTTTGGGCCCTAAACCCTAAAGCCTAAACCCTAAACCCTAAATTCCTAAACACCCAGCCCTGGACCCTCAACACTGAACTCTATAAACTCTGAGAGTGAAGAAAAGCTTGGTCTGGGTTTTTAGGGTGCCGGGTTCAGGCCCAAACCCCCTGAAACCCCTAGCCTTTAAGGGGTTCAGGGTTTGGGGCTTCGGGTTTAGGGTTTATGGTTTGGGGCTTGGTGGTTTAGGGTTTGGGGTTTAGAGTTTTCTGATGTGCACATCTTAAAGGTTTAGGGTTTGGGGCTTAGGTCTGAAGTTGCGGACGCCGAAGTCAAAGCAAAAAGGTTGCAGTCAAAGGCGAAGCGGGGAAGGAGGGGGGGGGGGGGGGGCATGCGTTTCGCGGGAGCTCCGAAGCTCATCTTGGTAGCCCAGTGGTGCTCTTTTCCCTTTTTTTGGGGGGTCAAGGTTCCCTTATCGAGTAGCCAACCCCCCAAAAACGGGTGCCCTCATTTCAACATGGTTCTTGGGCTACCAAGCCTTCTAGTCAACCCCTTTCAGGCCTTAAGCCCCTAAACCTGAGAAGCCTCAAGCGCGCTTCAAAGCCCTGATCTGATGTAAGCCCTAAGCTCTTCAAAGCCCTAAGGCCTTTGACAACAACCGAAGCCCTTCTGAAACCCCAAGCCCTAAACCCTAAACTCACAACTCACTGCGTGCAGGCTCTATACCTTCGCTTCTGCAAGAACAAGCCCGGCAACCCCCAAATCCCCAACATGTGTCCCTGAACCCTTGAGCCCTCCACTCCTCTAAACCCTAAACCCTAAACCCTAAACCCTAAACCCTAAACCCTAAACCCTAAACCCTAAACCCTAAACTCTAAACCCTATTCCCTAAACCCTAGACCCTGAAAGCCCCCCCCAACCTTCGAGCCTAGACTAGACACAACATCCCTGACCCCCAGACCCCAAACCCTAAACCCTAAGCCCTAAGCCCTAAACCCTAAGTCCCAAACCCTAAACCCTAAACCCCAAACCCTAAGCCCTAAACCCTAAACCCTAAACACCAAACCCTAAACCCCAAGCCCCAAGCCCCAAAGCCCCAAGCCTCAAGCCCCAAGCCCCAAGCCTAAACACCCAAAACCCCAAACCCTAAACCCCAATCCCCAAACCCTCCAAAAGCACGGCCCCCGGCGCTGCTTTCGAAGCCTCGAACCCTTGGCTCCAGAAGCATGCCCTCCGGGTAGCCCGAGGTGCCCCGCCCCAGGGTTCGTCAGGTGTTTTTTGGTGGGTTGTGGGGAGGGTTTAGGGTTTAGGGTTTTTAGGGTTTTTAGGGTTTTTAGGGTTTTTAGGGTTTTTAGGGTTTTTAGGGTTTTTAGGGTTTTTAGGGTTTTTAGGGTTTTAGGGTTTTTAGGGTTTTAGGGTTTTTAGGGTTTTTAGGGTTTTTAGGGTTTTCAGGGTTTTTAGGGTTTTTAGGGTTTTTAGGGCTTTTAGGGTTTTTGGGGTTTTTAGGGCTTTTAGGGTTTTTGGGGTTCCGGGTTTAGTGGTTAGGGTCTAGGCGGTTTAAGGGTTTGGGGTCTGGGGTTCGAGGGGTTTCTGGTTTGGGGATTCAGGGTCCAGGGCTGGTTTAGGGTTTACGATTTTGGGCTTAGGGGGTTTGTAATTTGGTTAGGGGCTTGAGGGGTTTAGGGTTTGGGGTGCAGGGTTGAGGGGTTTCGGGGTTTAGGGCTTGCTTAGGGTTTCGGATGTAGGGTTGAGGGGTTTGGAGGTTTAACGGGTTTAGGATTGCAGGCGTAGGTTTTGGAGGACTCAGGAGGGTTTGCGGCTCAGGCTTGGGGAGGTTTCGAGATTTGGGTCTTTGGGGTTTGTTATAAGGTACATCGGGTTGGGTGGTGGAAGGTGTTTTTTGGGTTGCAGGATGCAGGTTGAGGGTTGATAAGCTCGGGTTTGGGGTTTACCCGGTTAAGCTACCGTTGAGGACGGTGCTCCTGGTCAGGGAGAGTCGCATATGAGGTTTGGATTGTCAGAAGTCTCTACACCCTGAAAACCCTGTACCCAGAGCCTTAAGCCCTACACTCTGCATCCCCACGTTAGCAACTAGGGAAAAACAACATCGTGTTCTAACCAGTTCGTAAGACCTGAAGCCCACAGACCAATTAAGCCCTGAAGCCCTCACGCTCTCAAAAACCCCTAGCCCCACAAAAACCCTAAAGCCTAAACGGTTTATGGGAATTTTGGGGGTTAGAGCCGTAACCCTAAACCCCCCTAAACCCTAAACCCTAAACCCTAAACCCTAAGCCCTAAGCCCTAAACCCTAAACCCTAAACCCCAAACCCTAAACCCTAAACCACGGGTTCCGAGGAACTTCTGATGTCGCCCAGTTTCGACTCGGCTGCCTGGGCCTGGCGCGCAGCAATGGTTGTTAGGGTTTAGCGTTTAGGGTTCAGGGTTTAGGGTTTAGGGTTTCGGGTTGAGGGTTTAGGGTTCAGGGTTTGGGGTTTTTGGGCTTAGGGTTTTTGGGCTTAAGGGTTCCGGGTTTTGGGCTTTGTCGTTTCGGGCTCGGGGTTTCGAGGTTGGGGGAGATGTAAGGTTTAGTGTTTGAGGTTTAGCGCCTTGGCGTGTGACGCTTCGGGTTAGGTGGGCGTCGAGGGTGTGCTGTAGGGCTGAGACTCTTTGTCACTTTCGGTACTTTCGGGTGCCCGTAGACTTACTGGTACAGAATGAGGAAAGTAGCCCTACTAGAACCCGTAAGTAGAAGCCTCACTTTCTGCGTCGTTAGGGTCCCCAGTGTGTATGGAGATTCACGTCTGGAAGTCCGGTGGGTTTCGGAGCCCTCAGCCCTCGAAACCTTACACCCCAAGCCCCAACCGTATGGGTTTAGGGTTTTAGGGTTTAGGGTTGGGGTTTCGTACCCCTTATGATACTCCCTAAGGACTGTTAGTTTAAGGGGGAACATCCCAACCTAAGGGTTTAATTAGGTTTTAGGTGAAGAAGAAACCCGAAACCCTAAACGCTAAAACCTAAACCCTAGACCCTAAACCCTAACCTGAAACCCCAATCCCTTAGGTGCCGGAACAGCATGTCTACGGCCTGCTTCCGCTGCTCATGTGCCGAGAGGTCATTCGCGAGGAGTCTGTTTGGGGTTTGGGGTTTAGGGTTTGGGTTTAGGATTTAGGGTTTAGGGCTTAGGGCTTCAGGTTTAGGGATTGGGGCTTAGGGCAGAAACAGACCTTGCACAAGAAGCTTAGACCCTCAACCCTTAGCGAAACCCGATCTTCGGAAGGCCTGGGGACCGTAAGGCATGGCCAGAAACCTACTCAGACGCAGGCGCTACCCGAGATGTGCCAAAAGACTCCCAGGAAGAACACATCCTGGGTGAAAAGATCCGACCTCCACCCCGCCCACCCTCTCCTCATCGCCCCGCCCACAACCCCTGCCAGCTTTCCACCCCCCCTCCCCCCTGTCACCACCTCGCCCAACCCCCTCACCCCAACCCAACCCCCACAGACCCTGAATCAGCAAGGCCAACAATCCGAAATGTGAGGAGCTGACGAATCCGCCGCCCACCGATCGACTCAAGGCGCTCCCTCTCGGGTGGCGGGTACACTACCTTAGCTACCTTAGATACCTCCCAAAGGGATCAGGGAGTTTAGGGCAATTGGGGATTGGGGCCGCCACCCCTAAACCCTAAAGCTTAGGGTAAAGCTTAAACCCTACTTCTCGCAGGCTCTAGACGCTAACGACTTCGGGGATGGCTCGAGTGTGGTGGGGTCGACTCCGCTTAGGGTTTGGGGTTTAGGATTTAGGGTTTAGGGTTTAGGGTGGGATTTCCCAAAACCGTAGACCCAAAACCTTGAATCCTGCGCCCTCGGCCCTGTCTATGTGGTATATGCTCTGGCCTTAGAGGGGCCTTTTTGGTGGCTTTGGGGTTTAGGGTTTAGGGTTGCCCACGTAGATACTCGTGGTGCCCTTTTGCCTCTTGTTGGTTCAACGTGACCAACCCCAAAAGGGGTACCCTTATTAAGAACATGGTTGTTGGGCTACCAAGTACTGCATGGGTACTTGGGCCCTTAGGTTTTTGGGGCTTTGCCTTTTCTTGTGTCTGAGTTGTCTGTTTTGCACGGAAGCTGTGACAAGCCAGGAAGCAAAACGTGCTGAGAAGCACAGCTCCAAAGCAGAGCCGCCCAGCCCCAAATCCTAACACCCTGTAGATCCCAAACTCAAGCCCTTAAAGGAACTCAACACCCCATGCACAAACCCCAAGCTAAACCCCAAACCCTAAACCCGGCCCTAAACTTCAAACCGTCAGCCCTAAACCCTAAACCCCAAACCCCAAACCGTAAACGCTATATCCCAAATCGGCACCTGTTCTATGGATGGACTGCTTCAAACACCGATGGCCGCCGCGTCCATGGCCAGGCCCACAGCTGACTACGTCTAGGGGATGGGGTTTAGGGTTTACCCAAAAACCCTAAAACCCTAACACCCTAAAACCCTTTAACCCCAGAAAACCCTAAAACCCTAAAGCCCTGAAACCCTAAAACCCTAAACCTTAAACCCTAAACCCTAAACCCAAAATTTCGGGGTTCCTTAGGTTTACAGGGTTCAGGGTGGGCATCCCATGGGCGTCCCATTGAGGACGTAAGCCCTACACAACCACTAAAGGACCTGTCCTAAAGCATGGTTTGATCTAAGGTTGGAACCATGGGCCCTTCGTATGGTCCCTTACCCCTGGTTAAAGGGATTTAAAGGGATCCGACGTATGGGCCCTCATTATGTATAGTGTATAGTTTTATACCAGGGGACCCAACTTGAGGGCCCATACTTGGGATCCCCTGATATCCTTCAGGTTCAGGCACTCGAGGTTGAGGGTTGAGGTTTTCGGGTTTTAGGGCTTAGGGCTGAGGGTTGTGGGGTTGCCTAGCCCAGTGGTGCCGTTCTGCACTGCTGGGGTTCTAGGTTCCCTTGTAGAAGTAACCAACACCCAGAAGAGCACCATGAACTGTAGTGTGGTAACTGGGCTACCAATTTCGGGGGGGTGCGAAGTTCGAGGCGATGTTAGACGAGGAGTAGCTTTCGAAGCAGCCCAAAAGGCCTGGGGGCTAAGGAATGGCCGCGCCCCAGACAACCCTAAACCCACAACCCACAACCCTCAAGGCTCCATCCTCAGTCCTAACCCTAAACCCACCCAACACTCAGAACCGAACCCGGAACCCGGAACCCGGAACCCGGAACCCGGAACCCGAAACCCTAAACCCTAAACCCTAAACCCTAAACCCTAAACCCTAAACCCTAATCCCGAAACCCGAAGCCCGAAACCCCAACCCTAAACCCTAAGCCCTAAGCCCTAAGCCCTAAACCCTAAACCCTAAACCCTAAACCCTAAACCCTAAACCCTAAACCCTCAGCCGGAGGCCTCCGCCAGCCCCGGAGAGCATGGGCGACCCTTGGGAGAGGCACCAGGTTTGAAATCCCTCAAACCCTAAAGGGTTAGGGAGCCCTAAACCCCTGGAAGAGGATGCTTCGAAATATGTGGGTTTCCGAATTTACAAGGGGATCCTAGTATTATGGGGGCCTAAACCCTAAACCCTAAACCCTATACCCTCTATATCAGGGGCCCCCTATTCTCGTAAACCCGTATCTTTCGTAGGGTTTCAAGGGCCAACCTCGGCTCGCGAGATTGTGGGGTTTTTGGGCCTGCAGGGTTTAGGGTTGAGAGTTTAGGGTTTAGGGTTTATCAGGGTTTAGGGTTCATTAGGGTTTGGGGTTTATGGGGTTTAGGATTTAGGGTTTAGGGTTTAGGGTTTACGCCTCTAGGTCTGCAGAGCTTTTAGGGTGTTAGGCCGGAAAGGGGTTTTTGGGGTTATGCTTGCAGGTCCATAGGTGTATATGGGGCTGCCATTCCTAGTTGAATGCTGTTGGGGTTCAAGGTTTTAGGGCTTCAGGGTTCAGAGTTCTGATCCGATGTATTGTCAGCGCTCCCGAACCTAGCACCCCTGAATTTAATTCTGGTGGTGTCAGTCCCATAAGCTCTTGCGGTTGCGGGTAATATAGGGGCCTTAAATCATCACAATGAATACATAGGTTTTGGGATTATCTACTATTAGTATACAAAGAGCTGGCTGAGGTGTTTGGTTCTGCAAACTAACGCGGGCCACTCAGAACAAGCTTCCGTTTGGCGCGCCCGAAATTAAGTGGTCCCAAAGAACCACATAAGCATAGGGATCCTACTGATGGGGTATACGGGCCCCTATAAGGGGGATTCCGAAAGAGGATCCTTATGTCCATGTGGTTTTTTGGGCCCCTGGAAATCCCAAAGCCCTAAGCCCCGAGCCCCGCTTTCCCTCGCAGTCGGTCGCTGCCCCCCGAGGCGCACGAGTGAGGATGCTGGGTTCGGGTTTTGGGCTTAGGTTTTAGGGTTTAGGGTTTTGGGCTTCAGGGTTTGGGGTTTTAAGGCTTGGCCGGCTTGGCGGGATTTAGGGCTTAAGGGGTTTAGGGTTTGGAGTTGTGGCCCTTCACTTGGGGGGGGGGGGGGGGATTGCTAGAGTCTAGAGTCTGGAGGATCGAGGCCCTACTGGCGCAGCAGGCCCTGGATCACTGGTTCAGGCTTAGCGTTGCAGGGGGCCTGGGGCGAGAACCGAAACCCTACCCTAAACCTACGGTTGGAACCAGGGGCCCTTAGTATGGTCCCCTTACCCTTTTTGTATAGGGATCCAAAGTATGGGCCCTCGTTATATACATAAGGGTTATATTGCTGTTATTGGTGAGTGTATATAAGGTTCCTTTTCAATATTGGTGAGTGTATATATTGGGTGTCCTTTTGGGGGATACAAGAAATAGAAACCCTACTTCATGTACATAAGGGTTATATAAAATGGGACTCAAATTGAGGGCCCAGACCTCGGATCCCGAGACGCCACGGCATGCACGCACGGCACCCTAAACCCTCAACCCCCTCAACCCCCTCAACCCCCTCAACCCCCTCAACCCCCTCAACCCCCTCAACCCCCTCAACCCCCTCAACCCCCTAAACCCCCTAAACCCCCTAAACCCCCTCAACCCCCTAAACCCCCTAAACCCCCTAAACCCCCTAAACCCCCTAAACCCCCTAAACCCCCTAAACCCCCTAAACCCCCTAAACCCCCTAAACCTCAAACCCTAAACCCTAGACCCTAGACCCTGAACCCTGAACCCTGAACCCTGAACCCTAAACCCTAAATTTAATTGGAGTATTTACGACGCTCGTCCCTCGTTGTCCCTGATTCTGGGATTCGCCTCGAGCAGTCAGAGCTCTAAAACTGCCCGAACCCCATGGACCCCAGCCCTGACCGTAACCCCCAAGGTTTAGGGTCTAGGGAGTTTAGGGTTTAGGGTTTAGGGTTTAGGGTTTAGGGTTTAGGGTTTAGGGTTTAGGGTTTAGGGTTTAGGGTTTAGGGTTAGGTTTTAGGGTTTAGGGCTTAGGGTTTAGGGTACAAGGTTTAGGGTACAAGGTTTAGGGTTCAGGGTTTAGGGGAACCTCATCCTGGAATTGCTGTGTTTAGTGGCTTTCCGCATTACATTCTGCGATATGCCCGTCACCGCGCTCAATCCCTAAACCCTAAACACCCCTAAACCCTAAACGCCCCAAACCCTAAACCCTAAACCCTCAACTTCCCTAAACCCTAAACACCCCTAAACCCTAAACACCCTAAAGCCTAAACCCCAAACCTAAACTTCCCTAAGCCCTAAACACCCCTAAACCCTAAACCCCCCCAAAAAACCCTAAACACCCTAAACCCCCTAAACCCTAAACCCCCCCAAAAACCCTAAACCCCCCAAAACCCCCTAAACCCTAAACCCTAAACCCTAAACCCTAAACCCTAAACCCTAAACCCTAAACCCTAAACCCTAAACCCTAAACCCTAAACTTCCCAAAACCCTAAACACCCCTAAACCCTAAACCCTAAACCCTAAACACCCTAAACACCCTAAACCCTAAACACCCCTAAACCCTAAACCCTAAACCCTGATCAGGTCGATCCTGGCTGCGGCCCCGGGGACCTCCGCTGGTCCCTGCCTGAGGCCATGTTCTGGTTCAGGCGTTTAGGTCCTTTAGGGTTTAGGGTTTAGGGTTTAGGGTTTAGGGTTTAGGGTTTAGGGTTCAGGGTTCAGGGTTTAGGGTTTAGGGTTTAGGGGCTCTTTAGACGCTTTTTAGGGGCTTTTTAGGGGGGCTTTTTGGGGGCTTTAGGGGCTTCGTTTCTTTTTGTTTAGTTTTTTTTTGGGGGGGGGGGGGGAGGGGTTAGGGTTTTGAAGGCCATGTCATGATTCATATGTTTGGTAGGGACAGGGTCCTGGGAGCTGCAATCCACACATACGTGGTCTTGAGGTGGCCTGAAGTCTAAATCCTTATACCCAAGGCCCCAACCACACCCCAAATACTAAGCCCTGAACTTGGGATTTTCCCCTTCATACTAACAGTCCTGAATAGGGATTGTAATAGGGGGCACTAGAATCCTTATTAAGGACTGTTAGTCTTAGTAAAGGGTGAACATCCTAACCCAAAACCCAAAACCCTCTCTATCATATAGAAATTTAAACCTG